AATAATAATAATAAAAACAATAAAAAAAAAAAAAAATTTTTTTTTTTTCACACTTAAATGACTTACCATATATGCAATTGTTTGTATGTATATATTTACAATTTTCCCTTTAATTTATTATAATTAATAAAATAATAACAATAGCGTCAAGATGAAAAAAAATTTAAATAAAAACTCGAACTGAACTTTAACATTATTTATTTATTTATTTATTAAATTATTTATTTATTTATGTAAATAATTCGCGATGTGTAAAAAAATTATATGCGAGAAAAACAGAGCAACAAAAAAATAAACAGAAAAAAAAAAAAAACACGTCCGACCCGCTCGAGATTCGGTCAAATACTGACGAAAAAAAAACCGACGTCGGGATCCCGATTACGTCGAATGACGTAATGAGAAAGAGGCGGGACGATGACAAATGACCGCTTTCGCTTATGTTTAACTTACGAGTCGTTTAATTTTTTTCTTTTTTTTAAATTTTTTCTCGCAATTTTTCTTTTTTTTTTTTTAATTAAAAATTTTGTGTCGCGGTCAATATGACTTGTAACGTAATATTTATCGTAATTTGTTTTATAAATCTAAACCGAAATGCATGTACAATGTGAACATAAACAAAAACAAAACAAAAACAAAAACAAAAAAATGTTTTTTTTTGTTTATTTCTAAATTTTTTTTTTTTGTAAATTATGTTTTCCTTTTTTTTAAAAAAATAAAATAAAATAAAATATAATTATTAATTTATCCGGATGCATTAAAACGGTCGGCACCAACACATTCCATTGATTTTTTATTTTTATTTTTTTTTTTTTTAAGGAAAATAATTTTTTAATTCCTTCTTTCTTTCTCTCACCTTCTCTATTTCCCTAGTACGTTTCACAAATTTTCTTTCTTTCAAATATCAATTTTATTATTATTATTATTATTATTATTATTATTATTATTTTACAAAGGATACAAAAACAAAAAAAAAAAAAAAAAATCAGAAATAATTCAAGTATCGATATGGTTTACCGAATGAATTCACAAAAAAAAATTTTTTTTATTTGTTTTTCGTGTTTTTGTTTTTCACTTTGTATAATAATAATGATAATAATAATAAAAATTTTTCTTTTTTTTAAAAACTTGTTCAAACGTAAAAAACCAAAGTTATTTTTAAAACTATATGATAAATAAGTATATGGTGTATATTTATATACATTTACGCCTTTGTATAGATTAATCTATATATATATAAATAAATATATTTAAAAATTAAAAAAAAAAAACAAAAAAATTAACCGACCTCAATCGTTTTTATTCAGAATTGTGCCAAATAAAAAATAAAAAATAAAATAAAAAATAAAATAAAAAATTTATTTTAAATTTTTCTCAATGCAAATTTTTATTTTTTCAAATTTTTCATTCGTCTAATCTAATTTTACCCGCCAAAAAAAAAAAATTTTTTTTTTTTATAATTTGCGCATGCGCATATATTTTATATATATATATATATATATATATATATATATAATAAAACAAAAACCTACAAAATGTAAACAATTTTTTTTTTTTTTTTGTTATTAATTATGAAATTTCTAATCCCCAATCCAAGAAGAATTTAAATAAATAAAAACATTTTAAAAAATTTATTATTATTATTATTATTATTATTATTATTATTATTATTATTATTATTATTATTATTATTATTATTATTATTATTTAGCATGTGAAATTAAAAAAAAAAAAATTATTTTAATGAACGGATCAATTAATTTTTAATAATAATAATAGGATTGAGTTAATAAATTAGAATAATAAATATATGTAAATGAAATGTAATAATTAAATTTACTTTTTTTATAAATAAATAATCAATAAAATACAAAAATAAAACATTCGTAGAATTCGTATAGGGGTTGGTTGACTAAGTATCGCGCACCATCTTTCGGCGGGTTGTGTAATTATTGAGTTATTATTGTAATTCACAGATGTCAAAATCACAAATAAAGAAAAAATAACCAAAACAAAATACAATATTATTTTTTTTTTATTAAATCGTGCAAAAAAAATATATCAGAACTAAATTTGGATTTATGATAATAATAATGATAATTTTTTTTTTGAAGTTATGTATAGTTTATTAGACAGTTTTGTTGTACCCCCCCCCCCCAAGAAAAGAAAGCAATTTAAAAATAAATAAATTATTATTTGATAAATAATAAGTGTCATAGTAATAAATTTTACATACAATGGTTTGCAAAATACATTATTGAAAAATTATATTCATTTAATTAAGATATATATATATACTTGTAGAAAAAAAAAAAAAAAAAAAAAACAAATCAATTGTATTTAAAAAAAAAAAAAAGTCGCATCGTAAGCGAAACGTTGAAAAAAGGTACCTTCAAATTTTTTTTTTTTTTTTCCACCAAAAAAACAAGCGGATGAAGATGATGAGAAGGGGAAGTTGTAAAAGAGGGTGAAAAATGGCTGCCGAAACGGGACAGATATTAAGTAATTTTGATATTTCAAATAAAAATGAGCGATTTTTAATGAACAAATTGAGGGATAAAGGACTGGAATACGTTTCCAGTAGTGGTAAATTAATTGCTGCTAAAACTCAACCGAGTAAGTGTTTTTTTTTTTTTTTTTTTTTTATTTTTATTTACTAATTAAAATTATTTTGGTTATGGTTTATTATTTAACGGCCCCTAAATTTTGCATCAAATGAATAAGGGAGCGTTTTGGGCCCTTAGGTTATGGCGATGATGGCGTCTGAGCTTATAAGTACATACTTAAAATTAACTGTATTTAATTTTTTTTTTTTTTTCCTTTTCCTTTCTTTTTTTTTTTTTTTTTTTTTTTTTTTTAAATCACATTTTACTTGATTTTATTTATTTACAATTATTTTCCCTTAAAAAAAAACAAATAAAAGAATTTTAGATAATTAATTTTAATTTAATTACTACATGTAATTACAACACAAATAAATAAATTTTATTTTAGCTTTATTTTGTCACTGTCCTCAAAAGTGTAAAAAAAAACTTCCTCAAGAAAAATGGGATGCATTGTTTGAGCAGTTTTACAAATTAGGAGATCAAAATAAACAAAATCAATTTTTACAAAATCACATAGTAATTAAAGCAGTTCATTTGCACAATTGGGAAAGTGAAAGATCATCGCCAGCTAATAAAAGAAGAGTTACTTGTCGATATCATGTTCCAGATTTAGCCGACAGTTATAAATTAGATGATTGTAAGTTGTGAAGCTGATGTGCACAATTTTCTTTTTTACACTAACAATGAATTAAAAATTGTATTTTAATTAAAATTTTGATTTAAATATAGAAATTAAATTGTAAGAAATTAATTGTAGATATAAGAAAAAAAGGAAACAACAGTATTGAGGTCTGTCAAAAGGCTTTTATGAATTGCTATGGCATAACTGAAAAAAGAGTTCGAATGCAAAGAGAAAGATGCATATCAAGATTGGCTCCAGGTCATTATAAAAATTCACCATTTGGTAAAAAGCATAAATTGAACAAAACAAAATCGCAATGTGATGATTCTTCGAAAAAGAGTGTTGAATTTACAAATGGGTTAGAAATTACTCCGTTAGATTTAAGGAATGAGAAAAAAAAAAATTCCAATTTCATAAAGGAAGCTGAAGTTTTTAATGATTCTGTTAAAATTGATAACAAAAAAAAAGATGAACCTCTTGACTTGTCTCATCGGAAAATGTCAATTAAATCATTAGTACCATCATCAATAGAAATAGATCGGAGTAAACTTTATGAGATAGCGAAAAAAATTGGAGTTTCCAAAGAAAGAATAGATAAGGAAATGGCTCAAAAATATGAACAATTAGTTTGGCAAAATTTAAAGAAACAGCAAAAAAGTTTGGCCAAATTTAAAAAAAGGCATTCTTCGGAAGAGTCAGTGGTAAGTTATAATCAACGGGAAATCGAAAATAGAAGTCCTTCAATTAATGCAGTTGCCGAACAAGTGATAGGTTTAGGAGATGATTTGACCATTTTACCTATTCAAACATTAAATAATGGAGATTTGACAATTAGCCCAGTTTTAGGGCATGTGTCAAAACCAGTAGAAAATAGAGATATTATGCAGGTTAATACTTTTTTTCAAAATCAACTATGGAAGCCAGAATACATAGGATTATCGAGTTGGAGAAAATTGAGAAATCAGTCTTTTGAAATATAAGTTTTTTTAAAAGCTAAATTAAAAATAGCACTAAAAAATTATGTCATAAACGAGTAAAAATATTTTACATTAAAACTATATAAGGGTATGATAATTTAAAAGCTCACATTAGAAATAAACAGTATTAGGCGCAGTACAAAAGATATTTTTTTTAATTTTTTACATTTTTTATTTAATAAGTTACAAAGGAGAAAAAAAATACTTGCAATTGTGATGTATTATTTTGTAAATTTTTGTAGCATAGGCTGTGTTATTGTAATTAAAATGCTCATTTATACCACAAATAAACGTTCAGTTTAATTAATAGCATAAAAAAATAAAAAAATATATATCCTTAGGCGATAACAAATACTTTTTTTAAAAAAATTAATTATTAAATGAAGTATGGCTTTTTATTGATCCTTTGCACTTAAAAAAAAAAATATTATTATTTTCTACGATTTATTCTATGCAGAAACTTTAGTTTTAAATAATTCATAGCACAACAACCACAAAAAGCATAATAATTTTTAATTTATTTACTATTATAAGATTTATGTATGTGTCTTGTCTCTAAGTTTGTTTTTAATAAAAAGTTTTGTTTGTTTTCCCCCAGTTAAAAATTAATTAAAAAATTATAGGTGGTAATTTCAATTTAATTTCAATTTATACTGGTATATCTTAATGGAATAATTGATATTAAAATTTGAAATAGTGTGACTAAAAGAAGAGAAAAATTGAAATTAAAAAAATATTATTCTGTATCATTTAAAAAAACAAACTAAATAATCGATAATACGATAATGAATTCTATTTTTGTTACGCTGTAAAATTAACTTTAAATTGTATTATATATTATATTATACATTTTTTAAAAATATGAGCTTATAATAAGTTTGTGATTAGTTTATTTTAAGTTATATTATATCAGGGTAAAATAAAAATATTTTAAACATAGTAATATATATTTGATTCATTTGAATTTTACTCCTTATATTATACTCCTACCTTTATCGATAAGTAGAGAAAAAAAATTTTAACAAATTTATTTTATAATTTTAAAATGAATTACTTTTTTTCGTCAATTTAATCTTAACAAAATGTCTGAATACCTAATGTGAATAACCGAGTAAATGAAAGTAATTGGTTATAACCTTGAAATTGTCAGTTAGTTAAAAATTATTAAGTTTAAAATTGATTTTAGAAAATTTGTTTTTATTAATTTTCAAATAAAATAATAAAAATTTGTTATTACTCGATAAAATAACTTGCATTAATAACCATAATCCTTAACTAATATTAAAGTTTTAAGAGAAAAAACAAAAATATAACAAGTAAAGATTGTCAATGCAATTATGACGAATTTATTTATATACTTATTAGTACGTTTTTAATAAACTAAATTAAACTGATTATTTTATTATAATTTACAAAATAACCAACTTGAATTTATTATTTAAACAATAATCCGTGCTCAATTTATAGAAGAATGAAAAAATAATTTTTAAAAACATCAGAAATAACGGCATAAAATTTAAATTTTATAAAAAAAAATTTTTTTTTTCTTCTACTTTGTTAGTTAATGTTAAAAAAAATTTTTTTATTTGGCTGCTATCGTTAATTAAAATTAAATGGCGGCGATACTGCCAAATAATTCTATTAATAAATATTCAAAGGGATTTGTAAGCTTTTAAAAAATATTTCGATATTTAGAAAAATAAAATAATATTAAGTATAAATAACTTCATAAATTTATATTCAGGTTGGATAAGGTTTACTATGAGAGAATAAAATATACTAAAAATAACTTACCCTTTCCAGTTTTTGAAAATATTCTCTCAAAAATGAGATTGGATTCTGAGGACGTCCAACACAGAGTTGTACAACACAATCCTTTAATATTTGTTGAATATTATGTCTTTGTACATAAGCTTCGCACTCTTGTAGGCTCTGCTCTTCGTCTAGATTAGCAGCC